GGGGGGGGAGGGGGTGCGGCGACTACATGTAGGAATGACAAGTGCGGCGAAAAGCCTCAGGGACAAGAGATTGGAGGAGGGATGGAGCAAAGTGACTGGACAAAAGGACGGCAGGAGTAGGTATAAGGGGATGGGGAAGGAAAAGGAAAGATGGAGACATGCGGGAAGGCGCGGAGGGTGGGGGGTGCAGGGCAGGGCAGCACCGCTGGGTGCGACTGCCATCCTCGCCGCCCAACTCAACCCCTTCCCTCACGCAGACCCCCCCCCCAGGCCGGGTGGCGCCTGCCTAGCAGCCGCCAGAGCCTTCAGTGGGCGCCACGCGCCGGCCTGCGGCCGCGAGACGCACGTGACTGCCACACGCAAGAGAAGAGAGCCCCCCCCCCCCCCGCGCGCACCTCTGCCCTGGATGCGGTTGGACCCGAGGTACAGCTGCTCCAGCCGCCGCATGCCGCCCCATGCCTGGGGGATGGGCCCCTCCAGGCGGTTGCGGGACAGCCGCAGGTGGCGCACCTGCGTCAGCTGCGCGCCCCAGCCCGGGGGCTGCGGGCGGGGGGCGCGGGGCACGGCGCGGGCAGGCGGAGCGCGTGAGCACGGTTGCTGGGGCAGCGGCCACGTCGGCCCGTGCTGCCGCACCATTCTCATACCCCCTGCTGCGGCCGCCCGGCTGTCCCCTGAATCCGCCGGAAACCCCAGATGACCCTCCACCTACCAGGGTGCCCGAGATTTGGTTTTCCGAGAGATCCAGCTCCCACAGCCACCCCTCGACCGATCTCGGAAGCCGGGCGGGCAGCGGCCCCGCAATCTGGTTGCCCTGCACCACGAGGCTGCGCAGCCCGCACGCCGCCAGGCGCCCGAGCGCCGCCCACGCGCGGGCGCCGCCGTCCGGGGCCGTGAGGTTGTTGTTCATGAGGCTGAGGTTGCTGAGGGACCAGGGGAAGGGGCAGGCGGCATCCTCCGGCCGCTCGCCGCGGCCCGGCAGGCAGCAGGCGACGCCCGCGAGCTCGCCGCGCCAGCAGTAGCGCGGCGCCGCGGGTGCGGCCGGCGCGGCGGGCGCGGCGGCGCGGAGCCACGCGGCGCAGCCTTGGCGGGCGAGGTCGGGCCAGCCGGCGGCGTCGCGCCAGGTGGCGCCGCCGCTGGCATCGTAAAAGTCGAGCAGGGCGCCGCACACTGCTGCCTGGCACGCCTCGCCGCACGGCGAGCCGCTCTCAAGGCCGGGGCAGCTCGGCCGGCCGGCGGCCTGGGCGCTGGCGCGGTGCAGGGGGTCGAGCGCGAGGAGCAGAAGCAGCAGGAACGCCGGCGGCACGCCAAAGCGCGGCGCCATGGCTGGCCCGACCTCGCCCGCCAAGGCTGCGCCGCGTGGCTCCGCGCCGCCGCGCGGCGGTTGGCACCACCTGCGTCTGCACGAGCTATCACCTGCCCTTGTCGACGGCTTTCACGCATCGCATGGTTCCCAGAGGCACATCCAATGTTGGACAACGATGGGTTCGCACCAAGAGTGACTGTGTGGTGCTGCAAATATAATATGGTAGCATAGTGCAGCTTGCGAGCGTGGCATGTGATATGGACAAATCCGATTCCTTCGGTATCAAGCAAAAGCACATAGATCATGGCGGATGGTTCCGAGGAGCCATACAGCTGCAAGCTGGTAGCCACCAAGGACGGCCACGAGCTCATTGTGTTCTTCAGATGGCGAGATACCAGCTTTGACCTCACAGTAGTGGACCGAGAGCAGCGCGCGTGGAGCCGGCAAGGTGAGCGATGCGCCGCGCTGGGCGTGCTGCACACTGCTGACCCACAGTAATGTGGACGGCTCGCATCCAATACACCCCCCGGTGCCCGCTGTGCGCTTGGCCAAGCAGGCTGCACCAAGCCGCCCGGCATGGCCATGGCAGAGGCGGCATGGATGGCGGCAGCCCGCGAAGCCCTGGGGTCACACGCACCAGGCGTGGCCTACGTCTTTGAAAGCAAGCCGCGTGGGGAGGCGTGCCTGGAGGTGCGCATGCACCCATTTGAGCGTCTTTCACGCATGCCGCACGTGCGTGGTCGCGCTCGCAGCCCGCGAGCACCCTCTTGTTGCGTTCGCAATCCGAGCAGCTGGTTCGCCCCTGCGTTGAGCACCCACGCCCTGCTGCACCATCAGGCCCCTCCTCTGAAACGTCTGTGCCGTGTCCTGACCCAATGGCTTATGCATGGCCCCGCCCGCCAAGATATCCACGCAAGGCATAGCCCTGCCTTGAGGCCCCGACCCCCGTCCTTCACACCCACCTGCCCCCACTCGCTTTCTCCCCCACCCAACCCCTCATGCCCGGCCCTCGCGCCGAGCGCCGCAGCTGCGCTGGAGCTGGCGAGACGCGGGGCTGCGCAGCACGCGCGTCGCCACCTTGCTGCTGGACCTGCTGCCAGAAGCGCGGCCCGAGCTGTGGCGCATGCAGCGGCTGCTGGCGCTGTCACATTCGCAGCTGCAGGTGCGGGACGCGCGGGCTGGGGTGCATGCGGGCGCGGCCGCCTGTCTTGGCGTCCTCCTCACCGCCCTGCTGGGCATGCAAGCTTGCCGCGGGCTGGCAGGCCCGCCTGCGGCCTCCACGTTGGAGATCCCGTGCCATGTGATCCGTCGGCTTGTAAGAGTGCGCGTTTGATTGTCTGCGCCGCTGCTGGGGGAAACTCAAACGGCGTGCTGGCTCGCATACCAACACAAGTGTGTGCGCATGTGTGCGCGCGCACACACATGCCCACACACACTCTCTCTTTCTCTCTTTCCGTCTCTTATATACACACTCAACTTTCAAATACTTATACTCGTGCATGTTACACACACGCGCCCGCGCGCACACACATTCCCACACACACAACACACACGCAAGCACACACGCACGCGATGTTGCGTGCACGCCCACGCATTCATGCACGCACGCTCGAGCCCGCGCGTCAGCCGCTTGCACACAATTCTCCTCATGCAATCCCATCCCTGCAGGGCCGCGTGGAGGCAGTCGCCGCCGAGAACGACCGCCTCCACTCGCAGCTGGAGCGCCTCAACCGGGAGCTGCAGGGGCAGGAGCGGGCGCGGCAGGCCAAGGAGCAGGAGCTCTTCATTAAGGTGCGATCTGGGGATTATATGAAGCCGCGAGCGATGATCTGGGCGGGCTGGCAGCCAGGCCTTTGGGGCCTGGCAGGAGGGTGTGCCGAGGCCTCTCTTGCCTCGGTTGTTGCGCCCTTTGTAATGCGCTGCTCTGCCGCACTTGTCACGGTGAGCCTCGGTCACAGCAGCAGCCGGCGCGTTCCATCCCGCGGCCTCCGCCCCGTCTTGCACTCTTTTGGGGTCCCTCAGTTTGCGGAGCTGCTGTCGCGGCAGAAGGCGGCGGCGCGCGACATCGCGCGGCGGCTGGAGCTGGCGGAGCAGGAGCTGGCAGACACGCAGCGCGTCAAGGTGGGTGCGATGAGTCATGGCAGGGCGGTCGGGGCTTCAGGGTTTGTTTTGTCAGGGGGGTTGGACGCGGCAGTCAGCACGCGCACAGGCGCCCGTTTGTGTGTGCATGCTGCGTTCCTTAATCGTTTAGGAGGCATCACGTCGGTGCAGCAAGGTGCGGCATGCGCGGCTCGACCAGGAAGTATCAAATACCTTTTCGTTTGACTGACACTCCGCACTTCCGTCCGTCTTACCACGCCTGGGCAGGAGGAGGAGGAGGAAGACACGGAAACCAGTGGCGACAGCAGCCCCGAGCACTCGGGCGCGGCTGACGGCGACGAAGACGGCGCCTTCAGCCGGGAAACGGCGTCTTACGGCGGCAGCGACAGCGAGCAGCAGCAGACGGGCAGCGGACCGGACGACGGCGCCGGCCCCGCAAACGCGCACGGCGGCGCCGACGAAGCAGGGGTCGACGGCATTAACAGCGGCGACGGCGGCGCGCATGGGGCCTTGGCGCAGCGGCTGCAGGAGCGACGCCGGGCCGCTGCATCGGCCGGCAGCGGCGGCGCAGGGGGTCCCATTAAGGAGGAGCCACCCTATGAAGCCCACGACGGATCGGTGTTTGGCCCCCGGGGTGCTGCGACGAGGGGCAGCGGCAGCCCCGGCCGCGAGGTGGGCTCGGGTGATGGCGTTGACGGCGGCGACGGTGGCGGGGGCGGGTACACGCAGGCGATTGCCGCCTACCAATACGGGGGCGGCCCGAGCCCCAACGGCGGCGGCGGCGCGGATGAGATGGATGTGGACGGCGGCGGCGGCGGCGATTCAGGCGCCCACGTTGGGGCGAGCGGCGGCGGCGGCGGCGTGAGGGCAGTTGGCCGCCCCGGCAGCCGCGGGACGCTGCCAATCGAGGCCATGGATTTGGAATTCCGCACGCACAGCGGGGGGCAGGCAGGGCCGAGCGGCGGCGCCGCCGCAGCTGCAGCGGCAGCCTCGGCGCAGCAGCAGCGGTATGCAGTGGCAGGGCCCTTGAGCGGCGCCGACGGCGGCGGGAGTCCGGCGGCGGGGGCGGGGGCGGGGCAGGAGGAGAATGACAGCCTGGGGCTGGCGGAGTTGGCGGGCGGGCAGCCGGCGGGGGGCGGGCCGCTGGGGGCCGAGGCCATCAAGGTCAGAGCGCGTCGCCGGGGCAAGTGAGCGGCTGATCTGGTCTGCAGCTCGTGCCTGCGTAAACGTGCAACAAACGGCCGCACGCCTTCTGGACGACGACGGCTCGCAGATTGCACCTGGAAATTTAGCGTGGCGCCGCCAGGGGCGCGAAAGTCCAATGCCAGGATCACCTGCATGTGCCAGTCCAAAGTCCACGACATCCCCAGCAGTGGCGACAACCCGCATCCGCTCCTGGCGTTTCGGATCTGTGGATACCCATTGCAAGAAATTGCAAATGGCCCGGTGCCGCGACGACCCGCTTCATGCAAAGCTTTTGCAGAGCTGCATGCGGCTGCCCTGCAAGCGAGCTGCGACACGCTTTGCTCATGCTACCCCCACCTTCTAGTCAAAAAACTCTGAAGCCATGCACATCGTGTGGTCGCAGTGATGGCACGCCCCTACGTTGAGCTGCGTTTCGATACGCACAGACAAGCGGCACCCGTTCTTGATGCTGACAAAGTTCGCAGGGCAACGGGTGACGAACGACGGGTGACTTAAGGTGGAGGTAGCTGCATCAAGTAGAATACTTGAATTCACAATACTTCACCGGCTGCTGGGCGCCTTGCGTCGTCAAGGCGATCTCCGGGGCCGGGAGACGAGCCAGCACTTGAAGTTCGGGGCCGTCACGGCAACAAGTGGACGTGGCACAACGCCCATGGGCCAGCGCGCAGGCCCAGCGCGGGGGGTCTGCAGGCCGCGCACAAGCGCCACCAGCGCGCTCCCCGTGCTGCTCGTGCTGCTGCTGGCGGTCAGTGGAGCGGCTGCTGCACCCGAGAATCGCGTGCTCATCATGACAAAGCCTGGTGAGCCGGCCCTTACACAGACGCGCATTGGTGACGGGGGTTATGCCTGGCGCGTGTGCGGGACAAGCCACCCCGGGCGCTTGCCACTGCGCACCCTGAGTGCACAACACCACAGGCGTCTGCACAGACCGACTGCTCGGCCCACCCAGAACTCTAACATGTATAGGGCATATGCATGCAGCGCCCAAGCAGCAGTTTGTACCAGTGCGAACACACGCACGAACGTGCAAGCTCCGCGTGCGCGCACATGCGCGCGCGCACACACACACACACACACACACACACACACACACACACACACATGCGCGCGCGGGCGCACACGGTGTGATCCCACAGGGTTCCAGCTGTTCCAGTTTATTGAGAACATCCTGAAGGACCGAAACGTGGACTACGACATCGTGCGGTGGGACGAGACGGTCAAGCCGCGGAAGAGCATCAAGGACATCTTGTACGGGGCCGGCGCCGCGGCTGATGCGCCGGGCAAGTACAAGGGGCTCGTGTTTGCGCCAAACCTGGAGGCGACGGGGTCGTTCAACAAGGACGAGGTGCGCATGGGTTAGCAGTGCATATGTGCGTGCACCCTCGCGCGCGCGTGTGTGTGTGTGTGTGTGTGTGTGTGTGTGTGTGTGTGTGTGTGTGTGTGTGTGTGTGTGTGTGTGTGTGTG